TTAGCCAGCATGGTGCGGACTTCCTCAGACCGAGCGAGTCCAACCAAACCGCGACAAGCCAGGGTGCGAACACTGTCAGCTTCGGATATGGGTTGTTTGACGTCCAACTGCTGTAACAGCAGCATTAGACCATGTTGTCGGCGGGCCACACTCCATAGGCGCATCTGATGATGAAGCAGGGGGTGACGAAGGGGTTCCACCGCAGTAGGACCACGAACGCCAGTTTGGCGAGGGGTAGGAGATGCGATTGCAGAACTTTCTGAGGCAGGCACGGCAGACAGTGGGGTTGGGGGCGCCTGAGAGCCGGCGGCGACTTGCTTTGCTGGTGTTTCGTAATTGGGGGCCAGTATGCTGTCAAGCCGACGTTTACGCGCACTTCCAGGTGCACGGGATCCCGTCGTTGGGCGAGTAAATGACTAGAAAAGAAAAAATATATTTTTTAGTTGAGCGAAAGTAAATTCCGAAAGGTTATGAAGGGCGACAACAAACAGCAATCAATTGGGAAGTTGCGGAGTTATCTTAGTACTGTGGCAGATTGGTGCTCAGCGATCGGTTACAGAACTCACCAGGCCCTTTGTGCCTTGGGGCTCGGCTGTTGAGCCCCACCAACAGCCGCTCAACGACTAAATCTTAGTACTGTTTCATCAGGTATGGGGGACATGAGATGATGATCCATTCCCCCATAGGCCCTTGTATCAATATTAATGGAATTATTAAAAGACTCGGAACCTAAGGCTACTGAGTAAAAGACTATCGAAATTGCTACTCCGAACAGCTAGCCGACCTACATTGGATTTGAATAAAAATGGCTGGCAGCGATGAAAATGATACTTGATAACAAAACCTACTAATGAGTTATAAGTAGACAGTTTGTTTAGTATTTAATTAATATGGATATGGTAACCGCCTTAAATGAAATTCAAAAGTACCTTGGCTGGTCCGAATGGAGATTCTGGAACGGGCGACGGAAGGTTTTCCTGTAAGGGCAAGGTTGCACCTGTGGACAACACACTGCTAGCCAGTACCGGCTGATCCGGGTGCTCACGATCACTAATTGGTCGGTAAACTAGCGTGCAAATGAAAGACAAGATCGCCTTTTGCACGCCTACATCCCAATTGTCGTCGTCACGGGGCAGCGTGAAGAGCATACTACAACAAGGAACACATTTACTCGCATCAGCTCGAGATTATGAACGGATACTGCAACAGAAGCATATGTCCTAACCGACAAAAGTACAGATCCAAGAATCGAGGATATTCCACTGATGCCACTAAAGTCAAAGTATGACTAAATAAAAGTAATAACTTCTACAACGTAAAAAACCGATAAAGCAGCAAAATTGCAATCAAGCATTTAAATTTACGTCACATGCTAAAAACACAATTAGTCCGCGTCAAGAAAAGATGCAACGGTGACACAAGTTCACGAGAAAACCAGCAAAATAAGCTGGTAAAAGATAGAACTAAGAACGTCCTAATTATGAAGCGAGATTGTGACACAGTGAAAAGACTCACAGCAGGCCATTGACGCGCTCGTCGGAAGT